CATTGACAAACAATTTCAATCTTTGGGATTATGGCAAATCGTGGAGATTTTACATAAAGTATGCGTTATTGTTGAATGAAATATCAAAGACAGTGCTGCCATAATTGAGATATAATTTTTCAATTTCTTAATTGTCGCCCTAAAGGCATTTTCCTCACCTTCTTCGCCCATCTTCTTTCCGAAATTTTCTTAAAAATAATTGATTTCTTAATCGACAGAAAGATATCTGGGTACCTTTTCGAAGAGGAAATTTTATACATTATGTATGACACATATTTGAATTTAATCTAATAATATAAAGAACACACTTTTATTCATAGATAGACTCGGTAGTTGTAGAAAAGTTCAATAAGAGTTACTTTAACTAGAAGTCTCTAACATGACGGGCCTTAATAACTTATTTGTGGGAACAACTACATGTGTATTAAGGCCTAATTGCACTCCCGGGCATTGTTTACACTCGATGAAAACACTCGGAACGCCTCTGCGCGTGTAAGGGATTGTTTAGATTCACCATGAGTTTCCCGCTAGATTTCATGTGATATGGTTGTGGAACCATTCCCTTACAGGCCAATAATACCTAATTGTTTTGTGTTTTATGTTTTTCCTTTGGATAACAAGACAAATGTATGACAGTTTTTGCAGACACAAGTGGCGCTGCCATTTAAGTGCACTTCCTTTATAGGAGTTTCATGCTTAAGATATTATGATGAATTTTCGATGTTGTGATTTCTACAGTTCGATGAAAGATTTGCTTCAGTACTACAATACCATGGATTTTCAACATTTTGATGACGCTGTTTTCAAGGAGGTAAACAGAAACAAATTTTGAAACGAATTATGTCTCCACAGTTCAAACATGATAACTTACATGTAACTAATTATCTTGAGTAAGTAAAAATGCAAAATTCATAGAACAATCTCTATAACTTTTGAATACTTTTTCACGGTTTTAGAATTTATCCTGATTCATAAAATTTTGAATGTTAAATTTGTTTGCAGATCCCTGGATCGAGTATACAACTAGACAAGAGAATATGTCATCTGTGTTTGCACGATGAGGACGTTATGACAGGGCAATTAGTTATTCTAGCGGGGATCTAACAGGTACAGCTACATATTTGTGAAAAGTGCATTTGTCATCAAGTCAGCCAGTACAAATAAGTAAAATAACAAAGGAAAATAAAGACCGCAATCAATAATTAAATGTATATTATCAGCATATGTTTTAATTACGGTAATATAATCAGAATTTTCTAAAGAAGTTTGGGTCATTGAAATCTTTTTGTCAGATAGAGGATTGATTCTTTGCTTTATAACGCCGAGTCGGCTGCACTTCAGCCATATTTCGGCGGAGGTATACAAGGAAATGATACAATGCACATATATGGACAGTATCTACGACACTATTGCTGACAATGGATAATTAATTCGAAATATCACAATCATTTCGCAATCACACACGACTCAATGAGTTGCCACTCAGAGAAAAATAATGATATAATAAAGTGGACTTGCGAAATAAAAAAAAGTCACTTATTTTCTGTTGTCAAATAATATATATTTGATAATTTGTGATACAACGAAATAAGTAGGTGATAGGACTGAGATAAAAATCGAATTTTTTGTAATATCAAATTTTAATTTTTTGTAATATCAAATTTTAATTTTTTGTAATATCAAATTTTAATTTTTTGTAATATCAAATTTTAATTTTTTGTAATATCAAATTTTAATTTTCTTGATAACTACATATAATAATTTATCTCTTGAAATCGTGAATTCTACTTTGAGACATTTCTTTATTCAAAAATTGTTTTCAAGACATCAAAAGGCAAGTTGTTTTCGTATATCACAAATTTGAATTTGTGATGTTATGGAAAAAAAAAACTTCTTATATTTGATATCGCTGACAATCTATGGTAACGCGACCCTTCTTCCATATGCATTGCATTGGATTATATCGAAAACAAAATAAAACACATCTGTTTCATGCTTATTTTAATTTAAATAATAATTTATTTTGAAAAAAAAAAACTTAATTTCATTTTAAACACTATGACTGGAGTAATTGAGAGGTATGATTTTAATTAGACAGTGCATCATGATAATGTCCTTACAATCATTTTACTACAGCCAAAGATTTGAGTTGCATGGTCCCCTGTTGCACTATTTTACAATCAGGATAAGCATTTCAAAAACAAATTTTCATCCTATTTAGAGAAAGCGTCTAATCTTTATTTAAACCACAATTTTATTGTATTGATTCCATCTAACTCAGGGAAAAGTTGAAAAGTTGGTTTTCTTTAATCCGCAATTAATTATCTGTACTACATTTTTAAAGGTGGCTTATGATGACATGTTTGTTTTAGATTATAAAAATTTTGATAAAGTAATGGACTGACTGTTATAGGGTATATTTTTGTGCTCATTTTCTCATGTTCTGTTCATTACAAATTTTCAAACATATTAACCATGCGTTATTCATATATTAATCATATGTTCGCTTATGTTCAGGAGTTCTCTTTTCAAAATTTTATTTTTAGTTAGCATTTTCTAAAACTAATGTCGTTTCTATTTAACATATACATGTACATGTACTAAATTTGAAAAAAAGAGAGAGAAACAAAAAAGAAACAAAAACAAACAAACAGAAAAAGAACAAAAATCAAAGACTATCAATGTTCCCAAAGTTATTTGCGTTTCTTGGGGCTTCTACCGCGGATGCCTCCAACTTCATGGAGACTAATAATTACAATCCTCAACATCCTACTGAAAATTATACAGCGAGAAAATCAAACGTCACTCTTGATCATTTATTTCTTTGAAAAGACAAGCAATGTAGCTCACTTGGTAGAGTGTTCGCTCCGTGATCAGAAGGTCTTAGTTCAAGCTCCGAAAAAACTTTAGATTTTAAAGATCTGTGTAATAAAAAGCTCTTCATAAAATTAGATGCATACCATTGATTAGACTTTTTTTTTAATCTTTTGATTCACGTGTCAAGGCATTATGAATATACTCCTTTCCTCTCCTCCACAAATCAAAACATCGGAAAGATGAATTTATATCGTCTGTAAAAATCGGCGTATTTTGAAAAAACCCGACGAACATCTAGCCAAAAATAGATAACTAAGTGATAAATGAAATAATAAAAACAACTTCAAACCCAGCTCCTGTAAATTTCAAGACGTGCCACATATCTGTACAAATAAGTCTATCGAATCAACTTTCAATCTTTTTTCATCATCTCTCATGTGTTGCTTGGAGGCAAACATTTTTTGTAATTTAGATTTGCATTGTTTTTAATATCTTTATTAGCATATGTATATCAAATACTTTGAATTTTTAAATGAATGGGATTTTTTTTTTTTTTTTTTTGTTTTTAAGAGGCGGATATACTGTATTTAAAAACAACTGGGACTATTTTTGTTTAAGTTGCAACTATTTCGAAATGAACATACTTGAGCGCCTTTTTTTTTTTTTTTTTTATCAATTTGGGTGAAAATTACGTGACTCACGTCCATCTTCCCCTATTTATGTCGAAATACATGTATTCCACTATCACTTTCATAAGGTCTCCAACTGATTCGGTATTCAAAGGAATGTTCTCCGTACACTCAATTTTATTTTAAACCGAGGTAAACTACTTTAAAACAGTTTGATTTTAGCTCTGATCACAACATTTCGCAAATATTTTCGCCGTTGAAATGATATTCTTTGGAAATACATATCTTTATCCTTGGGCCATTCCTTTTTAAGTTAATTAACGTTGACTTTGGAATATTCTTTTTACCTGATCAATATACAGAGTTTATGGCGAGTGTAATTGGCATCTGATCCCACTCCTGTTGATTTCATCAGATTTTATATTTCGCCCTGTTCGCAATTTGTATCTTTTATAGGATTTGTGAATTTGATAACTTTTTATAATGAAGCCAAAAGTTTCATTTTATTATAAATTTCAGTAGAAAATCAGCATTGTTAATCCAACATTGTTAATCAAGCATTGCTAATCCAGCATTGTTCATCCAACATTTTGTGCGTCGACTGCAAAAACACATCTCTTTGATTTAAAAGACCTGTTTTATATTTCGAAAGTTAATTCTACGTCTTGTTAACTTCTTCATATGCTGGAATAAAAATTCTATCTATTTTTTTCGCCCATGGAAACCTTTTGCATCGAAATATAGTCCCTGTAGATAAACATTTCTAGTTTATGAAATCATCTCATGGTTTGTTTCTTTGTTTAGGAGGGGATGGGAGTCCCAGTGGCTTTGTTAAAATATCAAAATGAATGGTTTTCGATGATTGAATTTGAAATGTGCAAATTTTAAATTTAATTATCCTGACAAATGCGAACCTCAAGTGAGACATGAAACCTCCCTAGAATACATTGTATATATCAAATAGTTGTGATTTGTACTTACGAACTTTTCGTCATGAATTGATTTAGTTTTAATTCTGCTGGTAATTGTTTTATATTTCGATGCACACACAAAAAAAGTTCTGACATTTTCTTTTAGATATTTATTCAAATTTAATTCATTACAGTAGACAAACGTCTTTCCATGCATTCGATTTACTACTTTTGTACTACATTAAACATTTTTTAAAGTTTGTATCATGCATTCTTGGCACGTTAAATTTACAACCTGCGTATAAATGTAAATGTCTTTAAAAGATGAAGGTCAGTGGCATATAGCTTTTTATTCCGTAAAGAGGAATTTATTTCCTACTTTTCATTATTTGTATACATATCCTATCTTTGTGTATTCTTTGGCTTAAAATTTATCTTTATTTTTATTTTCGTACAGGTGATTTCCAAGAAATTTGGAATAAACTAGAGTGTTAAACCAGACTCTTTAAGGACAAAAGTAAGGAAGAAATAATGCAAAAAGAATTTTTATTTCTGATTAGAAGACATTAAAATCGAAGACCTTTATTTCAATAGACGATGATTTTTAGTGAAAATGATTTGGCATCCACTTTTCCCTGTCATAATGTCCTTCGTTACCATCGTTTCTAGCATTAAGGCTACAGGAACAGGAAGTGACGAACTGGAAGTAAAATCTAAAGCTAATTACTGTAACATTTCTGAATGTCACCTTAGAATAGAAGAAATAAGTACATCAAGGTTGCGTAATCGTCTGGATTCTCCGCTTCAATTAAGCGGGAAAAGGGTCACTATAGACAACAAAAACAACTGTACAATAAATTCAACTTTACTACGAGAGAATTTGGACATGAAAATTGACCTCAGTATTGGATTAATTTCCGTCAAATGTTCCAACAACATCAGCATTCATTTTTCATCAGACGGAACATTATTTCACACCGATATGTTTCTACATCTCCAAGTTTTAACCTGCAGTATCTCTATGGATTCCCTTTTTGTGTTAAATAGAAACTTTGGAAATATTTATTCATTGGAACTTGACAGGACACCTTTACCTAGTGACCAAACCTCTTGCAATTTCTCTTATCTTACGAAAGATGTATGTAAAACATGGGAATCTGTGCATTCAATAAAGCTTTCAGCATCTACATCAGAAAGTCCACAAAATAATATTTCTAGGGTTTTTAACTGCCCAGGAAACCTAACTGCAGTTAGGGAATTGATACTAAGAAATTGGCAAATTGATGCACATGGAGCATCTTTTCTCAAGGAGAAGTTTCCGTTTTTACAAAATTTAGAGATTTCTTTTTCAATGATGACGATTCCTCCTCAATTTCCATGGGATGAGACAAATCGAACGTTTCCTCATAATTTTTCAGAATCTGCCTATACAATATTTCACTATTTACATAGTTATCATGTTGTTCTTACAAGACAATTCTACAAACGTACTATCAATCTGAATTCCAATTCCATAACGGATCTTTCCGACTTTCGCTTTTTTGGATACATTCAACTATTAGATCTGTCATACAATAAACTTCAGGTTTTAAATGAAAGGTCATTTAATGGACTGCAAGGCGTTCAACATTTAAATCTGAGAAATAACAAGCTGAAAACAATTTCAAGTCAATCATGGAGAAGTCTGAAATTGTTACGTCACTTGAACCTGCACTCTAATGACATAACAGAAATACAGCCTGATATGTTTGACAATAACCCGGAAATTGAATATTTAGATCTTTCAAACAACAATATCAATAGAATAGAAGAATATTCCTTTACAAATCTATTCAAGTTAAAAGAAATTCGCTTAGAATCCAACGCTATAGTAAATCTACCAAGCAATTTTCTTCCTTCCAATTCACTTAATTTTCAATATTTATATTTAGATCAAAATCCTTTAATAGATTTTCCTTTGTCAATTGTTTACTTTCGATCCTTAGAGAAAGTAAGTCTCCGACACACAAATGTTGACCTACATGAATTTAAAGATAATGAGCTGCTACTGACTATTAACTACTACGCTCTTAGAACTAGTGTAGCAAAATGGTCGGAAGAAAATATCAATGGAAATAAGGAAAAAAGTCCAGAACGACTTCGACAGATTGATTTATCGGGATCTCGAGTGGAAAATATAGAGCTAGACGTGTTTAAGAGTGGAAGAGATACTAACAAATTCAAACACCTTATTTGGAGATTATCTGTTATTCTGAAACATTTTGAATTTGTTCTTGATGGAATCAGTTTACAGTGTAATTGTAGAATAAATCAATTCAACAGGTTTGTACAGGAAGCCATAAATAGAAATCTTTTTAGTGGCAGAGAGTATTTCTTTAATGATTGGAAATGTTCTTTTCCTTTGGAATTTAAAGACAAACCACTGGTCAGTATAAAGGAATCGAATACCTACTGCGTCACCATCACCCCACACTGTCCACGAAATTGCACGTGTCTGAAGCGATCAGTAAGCGGTATCATCATTGTCGATTGTCGTCAGCGTGGTTATTTCTCTCTTCCCGAGCAACTCCCTGATGGAATTCTAGACATCTGGTTTCAGTACAATAATATATCAGTAATTCGAAATATTGGCTATCTGAACCGTATTCGCCAGCTCTATCTTTCTCAAAATCAAATTGTGGAAATTGAGAACGATGCCATTGAGAGCATGCACAACATCCGTCATCTTCATGTCGACTCTAACAATCTTGTTGTTATGCCTACCAAAATCCAGGAAAGGGATATGGAGTATATAAATATTGATAACAATCCTTTTAAGTGCGATTGCAATGCTATTTGGATGAAGCACTGGTTGCTGTCAAATTCAGAATCATTTTCTGACGTCACGGGTATAACGTGCAACATCGATGATCAAAATGAAAAAGGGACAAAGTTTGTAAACATTCCAGATTCCGACTTTATTTGCTTGGATGAATACAATACACTAAAGGATTTGATAATTCCAATCTCAGTCAGCACTTTATCTATAATCCTGATTATAATTGGCATATGCTTTATCCACCTATTCAGCTTTGAAGTAAAAGTTCTTATGTTTATGTATTTTGGGATCCACCCCTTTGACTTAGACGAAGACGAAGCGAGAGAAGCTGTTGATGTCCTTGTTGTCCATGCTCCTGGATTAACGAATTGGGTGATGGAGAACATTGTGGGTCCATTAGAAGCACAGAAAGCCCAGTATATTGTATGCGAAATAATGAGAGATTTCATCCCTGGATATTCCATTCAAGATAATTTTGAAAGCATTGTAAAAAATAGCAAGCGAATGATTTTGGTGCTTTCCCCCGAAATTCTCGCTGACCAGTTGTTAAAATTAGTTTGGAGTGAGGCACAAGAAAAAATAAAAGAATTGCGATCGAATTATGTGGTAATGGTATACTATAACCTTAATGCGAACGATATCATGAACGAGGATATGTTGCGTTATATAAATCACAGTAAAACCATGACATCAAATGATCGACTTTTGCGTCAGAAACTTCTATATTGTATGCCTGTCATTTATGAGAATACTGATGAGGAGGATCAACGTCTAGAAATTCGACATTGTGTGAAAAAGATGTACGGTGACGAAATAGGTAAACAAGTTCTGTTTGAACGCCATGTTTTTATTTCATACTCCAACGCCGAGATAAGATGTTTGTTGGATGAAATAAAACCGCTGCTAGAGGACAAAGGTTATACCTTATGTCTTCCTGACAGAGATTTCATACCGGGTGCACCACAGGAGGAGAATATCCTTAAAGCGATAGACACCTGTCTTCACACAATATTTATTCTGTCTGGGAATCACCTGCAAGATGAGTGGTCCATTTTTACATTCAGAACTGCATGGGAAAAATCACTCAGAAACAAGAGTAATTATCTGATAGTTATTCTAAGTGAAGATGTAGAGCTCGATGATATGGATGATGAAATCAAGTACCATGTGAAGACGCACGTTACGCTACGAATTGGCGATGAGTGGTTTGCGACGAAACTTTTAAACTCACTAGTTGATGTTAATACTTATGCACGATGTGTTGTAGATGGAAACAACCGAGAAGACTTATGTTGTTTAGATTACGATGAACAGAGTATTTCCGATAGCATGTTGTTCGACAATCATTGTGATATTGCAGCCAGGGATAGTAGAATTGAAAACGTCGAACATGGGATACAAATTGAAGAAGAAAAACGTTGGCGTAGGGTTGTGTCTGTTGATATTCATAAAGAATTTGAAGTCGAAAATATGCAAGGGATCGAATACAATGACAATGAAGATTTTATAAATGATTATGAAAATGAAGCGGTTGAATACAATGCTACTGAAAGTAATTGTAATGGGCGAGAAAACAGTTTATGTGAAGTGCAGGAAAAATGTGAATGTAGATCAATCATTGAGCACTCTGACGGTGATGAATTTGAAGATTTAAGATTTTTGCATTTTAACAATAATACAGAGGGAGAAATTAGCTTTAATATTAAAGAGGTGTTTCATCTTAATGTTACAGAAGATGAAGAAAACCTGTCAGATATCAAAAACGAAAATGTTTGTTCTAGTTTCAGTTCTGTTAGAGATTTCGACCAAAGCAGGAATTTCCGTAGGTTAAACATCCACTTGGAAACGGATGAGGGCAATATACATGTTACTCCTCTATTCAATCAGCTGAAAACTGACTATGACGTCAGCGATTGTGATGTAAGTGACAGTGACAATAATACTGACTCCGAAAGTAGTAATTAAAAGGACAGTTCTTAAAAAGTGATATTTTCAATGTATTGGCATAGTCGTAGAGTTTGTTCTTAGAGCATCGAGATAATTCTTTTAATGGTATTTTTGTTTGATTTGTGATCACTATAAAGTGATGTAAAATCAGAAATATTTTTAGATTTGTTATATGATAGAAAACTGCAATTTTATCTCTTAGTACTGGTACACAATATATTAAGTTTCTGCTACAAAAAAGACAATTTTTTGTATTGTACATCCAATTCCAGGTTCAATTACTTCATATTGTAAAATGGATTTAAGTTAGATTGAATTTATCAGTTGTAAATAATTTTCAATTCATTCTTTGGGATGATGGCCATATTATCTTAGTTTAAAATAGGTCGAGGATAGTGAAATTAATTTTCGAAAATTCAATTGAAAAATTACAACTTAACTGTTAAACTTATATGTGAATATATATATTTTTAATGGTCAAAATGATTTATTATATATTGGTATAGCCTTACTTCTTGTATTTTTTTTTATCATTTACGAAACGGGTCATTGTATGGATAAGTTAATTTTGAATAAGTTCTATTTAAGTAATATATATACCAGAACAAAACATGCCTTATATTTAACAAATCTGCTCCAAGTATCTGATTTATATTTTTAAATAGTGTTTTATTTTTTAATTTTACAAATAAAGCAAAGAAGCTACATGTGTTATAACTTTATAGACATCCAAAACTTAGACGTGGTGAACAACTGTAACATTGGGCAAAGTATAACTGGTTACAATACACAAATGCGAAATGCCGTGGAAAATTACTAATGCATAAAAATCAAATTTTCTAATCAAAAATAATAGTTCAATGCTTTTGAAACATGACAGTCATTTTTAATTGCCAGTGCATGGAAATATGCTCTTCCGTTTAAATGATATAAGCAATTCACATAACTGTCACCTTTAATTACAGCTGAAGAATTTCGAGACCGTTTCATTTAAATCAATTGAACAGTATTATATCATCCGTGAAATCGTTTATAGTTGAAAGAGCCTAGCGATCTTAAATCATGCCATACTGTTCCACGACAGATGACAACTGATTTATTATTTGACAAGTAACTTACAATGACCATTAAATCTACATATGTAATTAGAGAGAAAGACAATCGTTCGATTTAGATTGCGGTTTGGTCAGAAAGTATTTTTCAATTTAGATTTCTGGTTTTGATTTTGATGAGAAAACAATTTCCCTGATTAGTTTTTGTCGTGGTTAACTTTATTTAAATTTTGGAATTAATATCTGTTATCTGCCTTCCACTTTAAGCATTTCCAAAGATTTATTGGGATAAGAAAAATCCATTTTAATTGGTAGATCTTGTTTTCTAAACACTTCCACCATCATATAAATGCTTTGAGGATCTATTCTTTTTTTTCAATCAGATATGCACCATATAGCGTTACAATAAAGTTAGAATTAATATCCTCATGTTTTATCCACAAACAAATCCTAAATTTCAACTTCATAACTCTGGTATGTTTTAATAGTAAATATTCCTATTTCCACGTTTTTTTTCTCACGCTATCTAGCTTTATGCGATCTACACAGAAGGTAATGACATTTAAATGATCGGGTTAGTCCCCTTTCCATTAAAAACATTTTAACGTTGACAGTAGATTTAAGAGTTTTTTTTTTTAAATATTACTTACAAATACCTACAATGTACATAAGAAATGATTTTGTATCAACAATATATAAGCATCACCACTGCAGTACGTTATATTACCTGTACTAGTCAAGGACAAGAATAGTTTGTACGGTTATAAGGTGTTCCTCTGTCTGTCTGTCTGTAATTGTTAACATTTTTTTAAAGTATTGCTTTTAAAAATTTTCTGTCAATTTAAAGGTCATAGGAGACAGTTACCTGAACATATTGAGTTACATACGGGAATAAGTTCATATGAGCTGGTAAAATGAGACTGAAATTGTTTTTTGGATTTTTTACGCAAGATAGCTACAGCACAGTCGATCAAAATTACTCAGTCATGAAAATTCACTTTGACTAACGTTGTTTATCTCCCTTAGCATATGACGTCAGTAAGGCCCAATCGCTGTTCAAAGCTATGCAATGTTTACAAACTGTCATGTCATTTTGCAGCTTAATTTTAAAGAATATCATTATCATGGCTAAAACCTAGTATAAATATACGATCTTCAAACAAGCAAGTATTTCTTTTTAAAAATTCCATTGCATATTTGCAAGATGTTTGCATGTTTTATCAATCAAAATGTGATCATTTTCATTGTTTGACACTTCGATCTATTGAGAGAAAAATAAAGCGATCGGAAGAGAGAAAGAAGGGAGAGTGAGAATGAATTCCTTTTTCATAACCAGGGCAGTTGTTTTTATGAAATCATTTATTTACAACATAGTTTTACTTTCACACAGAGTCCAACACTGTCAGTACATGACACTTTTCTTGACAAACGATATGTTACTGACCTGCTGCGTTAAGTATCACATGACTTTAAAAAAAGAAAACAAGAAAAAAATTCTTGTGTTACTGTTTTATATAATTAAATCAATTCTTATTATTTGACACTGTCACTTACTCATGTACAACATCACCACGAATACCCGATCTCTGGTGCCCCCCTCCCATCCCCCTTGTTATTTCTTATTTCTTTCTTTTTGTAATTGAAAGTTCTTGAAATAATCGTGTCGTTTTTAAACACACTGCAAATGAGTTAAAAACAACTCTGGCAAGAACTATACGTAAACGTGTGTATATGGGAGTTAGTACAAATGACGTTTAAAAAAATAAGCAGCTCTAACATGTGGAAATGTTTCTATGAAGAATAAGGATTCTACCAAATGTAGATATTGAATGAATTAGAAATGGACATTTTTTTTTAATTTAGTAAAATTTAAAATACATAAAATACGAAAAAGGTAGGTATCTTTCCAGTCAATTTGTTAAAATATTTATCAAAGATCAGCACTTATCATCGTATATACAAACCTGTTTATTTTTCCAGTGTGTATTGTATTAATATATTATTTTTTCTGTAAAGAATATAATTCAAAAAGTTTTATCATCTGTTAAAAAGAACATTAATATTAAAATTGTAGGTCTCGCAAATGATGGATGGATTTGCAAACTGATCACGGACTGTACTGTTTACTAAGTACTACATACCGATTATTTCAAAATTCGATATTGTAGAGTCAAACCGTGTCTGCACAAAGTATTGGCATCGTAACAATCTCATTTGCTCTGGGCTCAACATTTCTTCTTTATATATATATTTTTATAGAAGAATACGATCATGTCATAAACTCAGGGATTCTATTGCTATATCGTTTTTAGAGCAATATGTGTGTTTCGTATCGGGGAAAACGGAACTTCAAAGACGCTGACATTTTTAGTGGTTCACGCTTATCATGGACTTCAATACCACCGGCCCCGTGTTTATTTTGGGGATTCACATTAGGGATATTCCCCATATAAATGTCATATCCTTTCTTTAACAGAATATTATAAGCTTAATCAAAATTTTTATTCATATCAGAAAAGGCAACTTTTAATAAATTATTCTATTTTATGTTGCATTATGCGATTTTTCTTGGAATAAAAAACGACTTACTAACTTATTTTTAATGACGATGGAATCCTTTTGGAATGTCGTATATGTGTATTAAACAGGGGAATATTTCTTTTGTTTCTAAAGGTTTGATGCATGCAGAGTAAGTAATCGAAGTTGTGGCTTAATTTAAGCGTATATCCATCAGGATCATCCTCCGATAAAAAGCCTCCGTTTTGAGTTGCCGTGCCTTATTAACAACTCATTCAAACTGAACTGACTGAACTACGAAATCAGATAACTCACCTGAAAACATAGACACATTTTTCTTTACAAAAATAGCTTAAATTGACTAGATAAAAATATGGTAGAAATACATTTGTCTAATGCTCTGTTTACATCAGTGGGCTCTTGTGACGTCATAAAACCACAAAATCAAGAACGATAAGCGGGTAAGAAAAGTAACAAGTGGAAAAGTTTTCACCTTTATTTTTCAGTAGAACAAAGGCCAAAAAATACTACAACTCGTAATTTAACATTCTTTCATATATAGCTTTAGGTTTAAAAAGTGAAATCCTAATGTTAAGAATCGTTTCCTATGACCTTTAATAAAACTTGGTTCAAAATAGACTTCATCAGGATGCACAGTTCTATTTATCGGTTTCTGACTTCTATAAACAGTGATGTTATGGTTACAAAATTTTTTTACAGATATCTGAGATTTTTTCGTCTACATTTATGGTCCGATTTCAATAAAAATCGGTCGGTTCATAGAAAGAATAAACCATGATTTTTTTTAAAAAATGTTCATTGGTTTTGATTTCGATAATTGTGCTGCCATGGTCATAATCTTTAGACATTCCGGTAAAATTTCTTCATAATGCAGCATTATTTTCGAATGTTTTGTATTAACATAGCTCTTTACACGGGTAAACTTTAAAAATATACACAATTATGAATAGCAGTTTTTAATTTCAATGAACGAGTTTTCCATGATTATTAGAAAAATTGTGTTACTTTTTTTTTTTTGAAATACTTATCGTCGTACGATTTTGCTCTGATCTTTTTTTTTTTTAAAAATGGTATTTTATTCCTTTCCTTGTATTAAGATTTTGGTGGATGCGTTGCGAAATCTGGTAAAAATTATCGTTATAAATACATTTTTACTATTCCTCCTAAAGTTTTCGTACCTTTTCAATTAAACCTGGTACAGCAGACGGAACGTAAGAATACATAGTTTTATAAATGTCAAGGATCTGGGATACTAAAAAAAACTATGTAATAGAAACTTAAAACTAGCTTGTATGGATTTTATTAATGATAAAACACATTTTTATCAAAAATAGCCCTATTAAATCAGCTTTATTTTTTTTCCTTTATATATATACAGGTAACTCTTGATGGCTCGAACTTCGATCTCTCGAAGTTCTTGATCGCTCG